AGTGTAATTCTCGAGTAGTCATATCCCAGGTGAAGGGCGACTTCGAGGCAAAGGAAGAAAGGATGGCAAAGTACAAGGATGCTGTCTGGGAATTACTCGGATTGTTCAAGCGAGCGGAGCTGGTTTGCGTGCCGCAGAGCCAGAACGGGGACGCCGACCTCTTATCCCGTCTGTCCCAAGGAGTACCCGAACACATATCCAAGATTGCTCAGATTGAAGAGATGATAACTTCATGCATAGCAGCTCCCCCTTCGGTAACCATCCTTCCTCTACAACAAGTAAATTGGATTTGGGTGGATGATTTGTTACGTTACATAGCTGACGGGACCTTGCCCGATCAGGAACAGGAAGCGAAGCTCGTCCAGCGACGGGCTCCGAGCTATGTTGTCCTGGATGGTAAGTTGTATAAGCGGTCTTACAACGGAGCGTTGTTGAAGTGTCTACGACCACACCAAGCCGAGATGATTGTCGCGGAGCTCCATGGCGGTGTTTGTTCGGCCCATCATGGTGCATCCTCCAATAACTTGGTTGAGGATCTGGAAATGCGATTTTCTCTTTATATTTAGTTATAACTTAGCATATTTTGAGTCAATCAGGAACCAGACTGATCATTAGAATTCTCATATTTCATAGTTGAAAATCGGACTACAAATCATTCCAATTTGTCATGATTTCCGGTTTGAACTGACTTTAGCACACGCTATAAGTGGCGGGAGGCAATAAGCAAATGGTTGAAAATATAATGAACAAATAAATAGTTTATATATCCAAAAACCAAATAAATGATTTATGAAATGAAACTTTGTGGCGGGTAAATTAGTGACAACATAGTACCATTATCGATAGATAGCATTTTGAAAAAAAATTGGTAGAAGTAAGATGAACAAAATGCAACAAGAGGTGATGATGTGTGATGGTGCCATAGAATTCGACCATGGCCCAATTACATAAGTCCGGCCTGTAAACGGGACTAGCCCAAAAACGGGATTAACCGTTATCAGGACCAATGATGAATGGCGTTGGGCCCGGAGTAGGATCCGAGCCCGCGAGAGGAACCCACAACCAGGCCAGGCTGGAAAGCATACCTCGAGCCTGGGCGGAGTTCTAGTGAGGCTGGGATATTCCTAGGGCTAACGTGGCGTGATATCATTGGAATGGCAGCTGGCAGGGAATAAACGGTTGGAACATGGAATAAAGGAACAATTATGGCACAACGGTCGAGACGTTACAAGAGTCCTATTCGAACTAATGCATCATTAATAGCATTTATTGTATAAGTTTCCTTTTGTAACACTAGTTCCTTAGCCTATAAATATAACTTGTAAACCTCCTACTGGGGGATCGAAACATTGATCAATAAAACACTTCCTTACGCTGCCAAATTATTATCTCACCGTAGATTTAGCCCTTGTTGTTGGATTATACTCCATCATTTGGTGCTCTCGTTGAGAGCCGAGTCTACGACGAACCATGGTAGGATCTCATAGCCATAACCGTGGTGGCAACAATTTGGGCGGTAATCACCATGACCAAGTGGAGATTGAAGATGAGGGATCTCGGTCCCGACGCAGTGATTTCCGAAGACGTAACGATAACGCGTCGGGACTAGAGGACCTGAGAAACCACCTCCAGGGCATTGAAGGTTCGAGACAGGCGGCGACACGACCACCGCAGTTTCAGACGCCGGACACCGGGAATCGTATTCCCAATATTGATCCGGCACAGGCTCTGGCCAGTTTAGCGACATTCCAGAGGGCAGTGGAGACTCTGACTACTGCCTTCCAAGGCATCATTCCTGATGAGGGCGCGAGACCCCCTTCACCTCGTCGGGCTCGGTCCCAATCCCGGCAGGAGGAGGGGCACGAGCGTTCCAGGAGGGGCTCTCCACCACCCCGATCTCAGCGATCTCATCGCTCCAGACGAACCCCGAGGACCTCGGCGATGGACCAGATGGGTGGACCAAGAGTTTCCATGCATGACCGGATCTCATCCCGACCTGAGCCGAGCATGGAGGCGTCACCCGCGGCTGTCCCATCCCACCGACAAAGTGTGTGTGGGGGAGATCTCAGAGACGAGATCAATGCTAACCGGCAAGGCCGTCGGCATCGACGATCACCACCTCGCCAACAGGCAGGTCAGGGTAATGACGATCTCCGGAGGAGGCTGGACGAGCTCCGAAGGGAAGTGAACGCGAGGATTAACCCTAATCACGAGGTGAGAATTCCTGAACCATTCATTCGACATATTATGGATGCTCCGCTACCCCGAGGATATAAGCCTTGCAATATAGAGGCTTACCGAGGAAAAACGGACCCACAACACCATGTTTCCAGATACGTGGCATATATGGTAATGATGGAATATGAAAATGCTATCAAATGTAGGGGATTCTCGGTGACGCTCGACGGACCAGCCCGAGAATGGTACGATTCCTTGCATAATGGGAGGATTCAGAAATTTAGGGAGTTGGCCCATGCTTTTGTAACCCGGTTCGCTAGCTCTAAGGATTCCAAGAAGACTTTTTCACACCTCTTGGGAATCAGACAAGGACCCCAGGAGAGCTTGACTGATTTCCTGACCCGATGGAGGGACGAATCCGTGAAGGTGGACGACCAGGATGACAAGTCTGTGGTCGCCATGTTAACCAACGCTCTGAGGTCAGGTGAGCTATACAAGGATTTCGTCCGAAACCCTCCGGTCTCACATGAGGAGGCCCTGCAGCGGGCGAATGCACAGGCCGGAGTAGAAGAAACAGAGAGAAGGAAGAGAGACGAGGAGACCGGGAAGCGCCAACCTGAGGGAGAAAAGAAGAAAGCTCACGAGAAAGAAACCCTTGATTCAGATAAGGGGAATGGATTCAGAAAGAAGAAGAAGGGCTGGGGAAAGGGCAAGTCAGGCGTGCCTGAGGGGCCACTAGCCAGTCACACGGATTTCACTCCTTCTTCACACCATGTAAGCACAGTCCTGGATTACGCTGCGAAGCAGGGCTTGATCACCACCCCCGAGGGTTGCAGTGTCGTTGTTCACAGTCAAAATCCCAGGAACAAATACTGTAAAATCCATAAAGCCGATTCCCATCAGACCTACGATTGCTACATCCTGAAAAAATATGTGGAAAAGCTCGTACGAGATGGCCAGTTAGAGCAGTTTGTGAAGAAAGCCCAGCAAGGACAGTCTCCAGTGAGGAAGCTTACCTGGAACCGCGAAAAGGACGCACAAACCTCATCCTCGAAGAAGAGGGATGTTGGGGCTCAGTTCGAAGATCCCCCTTGTTTGAGAAATCTCCAGGTTGTGTTAATGAGGGCACTGTTCACTCTAAAGCAGTTTATGATGGTCCAAATGATGCCCGAATTTCCTCTTTTGAATAGATTAACTCTGATTTAACTGTTTTTCCAGGTCTTATATCAGTGGCCATATAACCCAGTGAAGCCCAAACTACTGGTAACACGGTCCTCACACCTGTTATTGCCCATATTAACACACCAGCTATGGACCACTGGACCCTACTAATTTAGCAGCCCCCGTTGATGACCCGAACTCTGCCCCTGCGGTATTTGAACTTACAGTATGCGCAATGGGAACCGAATCACTGGTTTGCAGCCATACTCGTGATCAAATGGATGCCTTTGATCCTAAAGTTGAGGTTGATACAATTTCAGATGTGAGTACTTCTGGCAACATTGCCAGTGATGGAATACTTATCCCTGTTGATGGCTCGATCTCTATCCCACTTATTTATTTCACATTTCAACCCCTGGCGACCACCTGTAACAAGGCAGTAACCTAGGGAATTGTTCTATTATTTGAGGCTCAAACTGCAAATGATGAGCTTCTCTTTGATCCATTGAACTCAGATACTACACATGCCCCAAAATTGTCCAGTGATGAAATCCATTTTGAGGACACTTGAATTGTAATTTGATGGAGTATATGGGTCTGAGCCCCCGGACCCACATACTCGGAAGAACAGAAAGCACAAGACAACAGAGTGGCGCCCTCATCGGCCAAGACGCCCCCGTCGGCCGAAAAGGGGCCAACTCAGATTATGGTCCTGAGCCCGAAGAACCCGGGTGCCCTCGTCGGCCGTGCCCTCGTCGGTCGTGCCCTCGTCGGCCATGCCCTCGTCGGCCACGAAGACCTCCCAGAATCGGATTTTATACTTATTCATTTGTACAGCCCATTAGTGGCTTTGTATTCGGCCCAGTAGCGGTCCAGTTGTAAATGGGCCTCCCAAGCCCAAGACTTGGGAGCCCAACCCTAATTTTCTCTATAAATACTCCCCTTGGGAGTAGTTATAGGGGTTACAAATTCATTCTATTGAAGCATATTATTGCACTTCTCTCTCTAGCTCTCACTTCTCTCTAGATATACTCTATCATAATTTTTTCTTTTTCAGCTCCTACACTCGAAATTCTGAGGTATTGCTTCATTATCTTCTTTGTTTCTTATTTCAGTAAATGATGTTCTTTTCCATATTTTTTTTATTCATTTGTTTGTGGTCAGTTTAGGTGTAAAACATGTTCTTGTCACCTGACTTATTATAATATTTACCGATTCTCAAGGTGGTTTTGCATGGGCTCTTGAATGTGATTTTTCTAATGTAACTTCTTATGGCAGTCTATGTTCTTTTACTATTTTGCCGTTTTTAATTAATGATATAATTGTGGTCTCAGTTTCGGATATATGGTTATAATATATTAACTACACATTTTATTCGTAATTTGCGCAACTTTATACGTAAGGCAACAAAAGTAAGGCAACAAGGCAACCAATGAGCCGAAGCCCCCCAAAAGATAGAGATTCAACTCCGATCTTCCCAGAAAAATGACTAAAGTCAGAAACAACATACTCTTTATTGCCCACTCCCCTTCTATTTATACTACTCTAGCTATTACATTTCTTATCTTATTATACTAGGTCCCTAACATATCCCCCCCCCCCCTCCCTAAACATCCACCTTGCCCTCAAGGTGGGCGATAGGAAGCAACCAAGATCTTCTGCTTCCTCTTCATCCTTGCGCCTCTCCCTTCCCAATACTTGACTGGTTGATGGACTAGGGACTTTCGTACGAGATCTTTTAAGATCACAGAACTTTCAGTAGCAGAAGGAATCTGTAGTGAAGTTTTATTCGGTTCAGTTTCCTTCCAGCATTTCATAGAAAAAAAGAAAAGAATTCTTCACGTTTCTGCAGCTCCTTATCGTTTCTATCTTCTGAAACTAGTACTGCATTGGATGTGAGCTCCTTTTTGTACCTTCCAACTTCTTCCTCTTTCAATTCTTGGCCTATCTCATTTGATAAGGAAGGCCTAAAAAGCATTAACAAGAAAGGGAAGAGATATCCTATCCCATCAGCAGTTCTCCCACCTATGGAATAGGAGATCCTATCTATGATGTAAAACCTCCAAATTTGGTTTTCTTGCAGGCAGGCCGTTTCTATACCAGAAAGAGACCTTGCCATTTTCAAGTTTTGCTTCCCTTTTACCTTTTCCTTGTCTTCCATATTTTGTTCCACATAACTTTCTGCTGTTTTCTCAGTGATATAATCTGTAATTCTGAGCTCTCCAACCATAAGGTCCACCTCTAAGTTGACAAGTGAGTCACAACTAATTGAACTTTTCCCATCCAGATTCACAATAGCAGAAGAAACAACTGGAGAATAGTCTTCATATTCCTTTAAAATATAAGGAGCAAAAAGTTCCTCTTCAACCTTGGGTTTCAAAATGGCTTTAAACATAGTGGAAGAGTGCATCCCACCAGTTAATTTCTTATTGTATATTGCTGTTTCAGCCTCTTTATCATCCATAACAAGCCTGCCACAGCTCACAACCTTCATCCAAGTTAGTGAACCTCCAGGTGAAATCACTGCCCCAATTTGAACATTAGCATAAGATTTCCCAGAACAAGGATAAACATGATCCTCAAGAACCACTGGACCAAACCTCTTTTGTTCCGAACATGTATTTCCAGAAAATATGTCCTTAAGTTGTCGCGGTTGTTGTCTTTTGACAAAAACAGTTTTATCTTCTGTAATGTCCTCGCCTTTAAGTAATCCCATTTCAGAAGCTATTAGGATTCTACTTCCAAAGGAACATGGGTAGATAAGCACATCAACAACAGAAACTTGGCTGAGAATTAAACCCTCATCATTTGCAAGATTAGGAGAAACGTAATCTAGCAAGGGACTAACCTGTCTTTGCTCCTCGATTTTGTCCTTATTTATTTTCTTGATTCCAGATTCATTTGTATCCCTCTCAATCTTCTTTATGGTCTGGGAAAAATCTTGCGCTGGTTGAGAAATATCTGGTGACAAAACTAGCGAACTAGAAGGTTCTTTCAATAGGGTTGCCTTGTTATGAGATTTGATCGTGGATGGGCGTACCTGCAGACTGAAATCTGCTGTTGCGGTTCGCTGTGCGCTTAGCGACGATTCCTGCGAACTGAGCGAAGCCGTTCACGATTGCGACCTGGAAGATGGAATTTGCGACTGCGTAATATGAGATGTTCGTGATTTCGACGGCGAAGAAGATTTCTGCGAATGGTGAGAAACTTCCGCACCTTCTGGTCTAGAGACGTTCTTCGCATGTCTGGGCCCCGAGGTGCGATGCGTTGAATGCGAAGTATGCGACCTGCTTCTGGATCGGTTCTGGTCTCGATTATCCCAGGTCGTGAGCTTCGCATGCACTGCTGCCAACAGCTCCGCAAATTGATTCTGGCTTTTCTCCAACTTGCTTAATCGTAAATCCATTTGCGCAGAGTAAAGATTATCCATCAGGATAGACGATTCTCTGATACCACTGTTAGAACTCTGAAATTCTGCATACGATTCACAGAAATTCAACAAAAGTAATCTGCGCGACTTTATTCGTAAGGCAACAAAAGTAAGGAAACAAGGCAACCAATGAGCCAAAACCCCCCAAAAGATAGAGATTCAACTCTGATCTTCCCAGAAAAATGACTAAAGTCAGAAACAACATACTCTTTATTACCCACTCCCCTTCTATTTATACTACTCTAGCTATTACATTTCTTATTTACTCTTATTCTACCGGGTCCCTAACATGTACGTAGTAACTTCTTATGGCAGTCTATGTTCTTTTACTATTTTACCGTTTTTAACTAATGATATAATTGTGGTCTCAGTTTCGGATATATGGTTATAATATATTAACTACACATTTTAGTTGATGAGTTGACCTTATTATTTAAATTTATTTGAATTGTTTTTCACAGTTTAATTAATGCAATATGCATATTGTGTCTATTTTTTTTATTCTAGGCTTGAGGTGATCTTTGCATCTCTACATCTCTACAAACAAACAAGAGTGCATGACAAACTAACAAGAATGAATGAGGGTAAGATTATTTTAGGTGTAAAAAATTTGTTGGTGAACATCACACCTTTGTACGCATGTATTATGGTCTTAAGTCATTGTACCCACTTATTTGTTTCTTTAACAAACGTGTACGGCTTACTGTCTCCGTTAACTCTCATCCGCTTAATCATCTCAAGCGCCTCCCTTTATGTTCAGACTATTCCCCAACTTCAGGGGCGGAGCCAGGACACTGGGCCGGTACAAAGAATATTTTTAGAAAAAAATTTACACGAAATTTTTTACCTTAAAAATTAAGCCACTTTTAAAATTTGGAGTGGGCCATGGCCTAGGTTGGCCCACCTCTAGCTCCGCCCATGCCCAACATTCAACCTATTTCACCAGATCGGTTAGATGATCCCTCTTTGTGTGCTAAAGTCGCAACCAGGTTTCCTGAGCTTCCTTGTTCCCCTTTATCTTCTTCCCACAATGTAAGTTTTTATTTTTGTTTCTCTTAATGTTAATGAGATAATGATGATTGCGTTAAAAATTGCAGTTTTAATTTTATATACAACTTAAAACCCGAGCGTATCTTAGTTCTTTCTACCTTGTGCGTAGTGCATGTTATGTTAATCAAAGAAGCCATATTCACTTATAAATATGTTTTTTATGCTTGGTCGATGCGTTTTTCCGTTTCACAACACTCTTCTTCCTGTAAGATTGGTGGCCATTACCATTTGCTTTGTGTGTGCTTTGTTTGCCTTTGTTTACAAAAATAGTCAACTCTTTACTGGGATACTGAATGTTATTGGCTAAGAAACAACAGTTTATGCTTATGTAAAGTTTGTGAGTTGGTATATCTTAACCTTATGTATGTGTCTCTTTGACTTATTACCAGGGATAAAAATGAAGTCATGGTTATTACTACGTACTTTCTAGCGTAATTAAATTAACATTTCAACCGTATGAGCATCATTATCACTATTCCTTCTCTGGTATATATCTTTACTTTACTCTTTATGAGACATTAACCATTGTGCCTACTACTTATTCATAATATTTACAATTAAAATCTACTGCCATGTTTTCCCCTAGGTTGTTTTACACTAAAAAGGAGGCATAATATAAATGATTCAAGAGTATGTGATTTAAAAAGGAGGCATAATGTAAAAAGGAGGAATATCCAAAAAAGACAATTCCTTGTAATATTCTGGTATAGAGTATGTGATTTAAGCCTCTTTTATCTTCTCCCGCCTATAAGATGCCACTAAATGATGTTTTACATCCCTAATCCACTACTTTTGGAATTTAGAAGTCACGATTCTTGTGTTTCTATTAATACCAAGTTTTTTCCTTGAATCATTCTTTTCAAATAGGGTTGTGATAATGTGCAAAAAATAGAAACAGATGACCCGAATCTGGGAATGGCAGTTGTTTTTTGCAGCCATGAGTAAAATTTTGTCTTTTCTCATTTCTTGTGTTGTTTGTAGTTTTCAAAACCGATTCTCTTATTGATTTGGGAGTAAATTTATTTTTTCTTTTACTTCTAATTTTTTATTGTTCAATTCATGAGGAGTTTTGGCAAAACTTCTACCGCAGAAGAAATGTTTGCCCCAGCTAAGATCATTAATATGTTGTAGATGGCGAACCAAAACAAAGTCAACTCTGTTCATTTCTACTAAAAGGTAAACTAAAAACAAATTTGCTTTGGTCTGACCTGTTCATCGTATTTTGCTTCTCTTTTTTTCTAATTCGTTTCATTTTCCATCTATAGTGAAGTACTTCTTCGTGCATCATATGAAAGGTTATTATTGTTTGGATAAGGTTTTACTTTTCACATCAGCTTCCTTGATTCATTTGGCTGAATCGAACACTTTTACTACTTTTAATTTCAGAAACATCAGTTAATAGGGCTTTTGTTGTTAGGAGAGCAGATTGCTCAAGAGGGCATATATCCATGGATACTTGCGCATACATGTATACATACATGTAAAGAAGTATGGTTTTTCTTTAACAAAAAAATAAGTATGGTTTTGTTTCCTCTAGCTAAAATAAGTATGGTTTTTCTATAATACCATCGAATTAAGATGTCTCCTAATCCATATGAGATATAAATATAATGACCATCTAGTCAAGAAGATGTCCTTGGGTAATTAAAATAAGACATACTTTAATCAGTATTGCAATTTTTTGACTTGTTAAGGTGTTTGGCAAGTATTCTTTATCAGTTTAGCTATTGCCGAAATATAACACATCATTCAGTTTGGTGCTACAATTAAGAAACACGTTTTTACATGATGTACAAACTGGTATAACGATTTCGTAGTTTAGTCTTTCACATATACTCCGTATAACCCTACGTCAAGAGCAAAAGTGAAGATCGGCATCAGATCAGAATAATGGGAACTCTTCAGGTGCCTTAAGGAGCAAGCACAAACAACTAGTGTACCACTTCGCTTGCATCATACTAACTCATCCGTCCCACTAGCATAAGACACGGAGAGATGATACAATTATAAAGAAAAATGAGTTGTGCGATTAATTTTGAATTGATAAGGTAAGAGTCATTTATAAATTTTCTTGTATCGTTATACTAATGATACAATGCTTAGCAACCCTAGTTGTATGTGATGGAGTATATGGGACTGAGCCCCCGGACCCACATACTCGGAAGCACAGAAAGCATAAGGCACAGAGTGGCGCCCTCGTCGGCCAGGACGCCCCCGTCGGCCGAAAAGAGACCAACTCGGATTATGGTCCTGAGTCCAAGGAACCCGGGTGCCCTCGTCGGCCACGCCCTCGTCGGCCACGAAGACCTCACAGAATCGGATTTTATACTTACTCATTTGTACAGCCCAGTAGTGACTTTGTATTCGGCCCAGTAGCAGTCCAGTTGTAAATGGGCCTCCCAAGCCCAAGGCTTGGGAGCCCAACCCTAATTTTCTCTATAAATACTCCCCTTGGGAGTAGTTATAGAGGTTACGAAATCATTCTATTGAAGCATATTATTGCACTTCTCTCTCTAGCTCTCACTTCTCTCTAGATATACTCTATCATTTGGTGCTCTCGTTGAGAGCTAGAACAATCAAGTTAGCACCCTTCGTCGCTACCAAGCACAGCTAACCACTGATCATGGGGAGAACTAAGTCAAACCGCAACCTCGTCAGCAAAATCATCCCTGAGGACCAAGAGCCCAGGGAGCACGATGAGGACGCCACGGCCGACCAGGCCGGCGGAGGGGATCTCTTCCAGGAGGCCTTCAACCTCACAACGGACCTCCGCAACCAACTCAACGGCGGCGGCCCTGATGCCCGCCTCGGCTTGGACAAGAAGCGAGCTGAAAAGGCGGATCACGCCCCGGCCCAGCCTATGGCCGCGGCCTCTCCGTCCGTAGATCCTCAGGTCCAGGCCGCACTATCGGCTATCATCGCCAGCTTGGCTCAGAACCCCACCGTCCTCAGCGCACTCTTGCCAAGGACCGGGGGGAACGTCACTCAACCTCCTCAACACCAACCGTTGGCCGTCCAGATAGGCAACGATGAGGGGGTGGTGCCCCAGGACACGGCGTCGTCCCACTCCCACCCTGCTTCCCCTCTTCGGCCCGGGCAGACCCCAGCGCGTGGAAAAGCCTCTGCCTTCAATAGGCTAGGTGACACGCGCCGTCGTCCGGTTTCGGAGAGGATGGCGGGACGGATTGGTGATCCTCGTCCTGGCTCGCCAAGGGAAAGCTTGGGGTCTGTGTCCCGGACAACGGACCAGCCCCGCCCGGACAAGGGCAAGGGGAAGGTGCACGAGGATGACGTGCGTCACCAGATCAACGCGGCTCACAACGAGCGCATGAGGAACCAGCCGGGCGGCGCTACGGCCGCCAGGGACCCCCGGGACGAGGTCATCGCCCAGCTGGAGAGGAGACTAGCTCAGATGGAGGCCAAGCAGTCGGCCAACATCCCTACGGCCGGCGCCTCCAACGATCCCGGCCTCAACGCGCTCATGAACAAAGTTAGCGCCCTGGAGAGGGAGCTGGCCGAAGGGCGAGGTGACCCCATCATCCAGATCAGGACGAGGACCCCCTTCACCAACAGGGTCCTCTCGGCCCCCATCCCTGAGAAGTACAGGGGAAACGCCATCAAGACCTACGATGGCCGATCAGACCCCCATGAGCACTTCAGCCGTTACCAGAACAACATGCTGATGGTGAACGCGTCCGACGAATACCTCTGCCGTTGGTTCCTCTCTACTCTCGAGGGGCCAGCGTACGAGTGGTTCAACGGGCTCCCAGAAGGAAGCATCGACTCGTGGCAGGATCTCGCCCAGCGCTTCCTCACTCACTTTGCCGGGAGGAAGCGCGCGAAGAAGTACTTCACCCACCTCCTCTCCGTCAAGCAGCAGCACGAGGAGTCCCTCCGGTCATTCATCGATCGGTGGACGAGGGAGACCGAGGAGGTCGAGGGGGCCGATGAGCGCATCCTCCTCGCCTTGTACCAGGGAGCCCTCCACAGCTCTCCGTACGCTAGGAGCCTCATCACCGACCCCCCGAGGTCGTACGCCAAGGCGCTCCAGCGCGGAGGCTTGTATGCCGACGCCGACGAGCTCCACAATCACAAGAGAGAGGGGGGCCATCCCCCCAAGAAGACAAATCCTTCGCCGACCCCGGGTCCGTCCCCGGCCGGCCAGGGTGCCCAGGACCACCACGGCTCTGGTGGACAAAGTAAGAAAGACCGCCACTGGCGGCCGAGGTTGGAACGGCCGGGGGTAACCCTCACCCATCCGGTCGGCACCATCCTCGATTATGCCGAGAAGCACGGCCTCATCGAGCAGGCTCCTCGGCCGGCCGAGGAGATCCTTGCCATCCAACAGGGCGGCACATACTGCCGGTTCCACAAGAACTCGTCGCACAACACCGACGATTGCATCACATTGAAGAAGGCCATCGAGCGCCTTATTCGCCAGGGGGAACTCTCCCAGTTTGTCAAGGGTGGCCCACGCAAGAACACTTGGGTAAACACCGGCAAACATGGGGGCGAACCCTCTACGAAGAAGCGGGAGATTGGTAGACTCAGCGACGACGAGGACTTCGAAGAGCCTCCGCCGAAGAAGAATCACATCCACCTCATCGTAGGTGGAAACACTGGGGGGGACTCCGCCACTCAGAGAAAGAAATGGGCCCAATCCCTTTACATTGGGGAGGTGTCCCACGTTCCCCCCCAGCCGAAGAAGCAGCGAACGGAGGCGATCACCTTCACCGACAAGGATCTGCCTCCGGGTACGGAATCACACAGGGACGCCCTCGTCATCCGATGTGAGATCGGTGACTCCATCATCCACCGTACTTACATCGATACGGGGAGCTCCGTCAATGTGATGTACCTGGCCACCTTCAAACAGCTGAAGCTGGACAGAGCTTTGCTGAAGCCGATCAAGACCCCGTTATCCGGCTTCACCGGGGACTCTATCGACGCCGAGGGCACGATAGTCCTCCCCGTGGAGGTCGGTGACGGCCCCCACCACGCCAGAATTGACATGGAGTTCATGGTGGTCAACTTCCAGTGCGCCCACAACCTGATTTTGGGACGGCCAGCACTGGAGGACTTGGAGGCCATCATCTCCATGAAGCACCTATGTTTGAAGTTCCCCACCAATGACGGCATCGGCTACGCCAGAGGAAATCAGAGGATAGCCAGAGCTTGCTACCTCAAGCTAACGAGGCCGGCCGAAAGGGAAGGACAGAGGATAGACACCATTACGGCCGCCGTCGCTATGGACGAGGAGAGGCCACATGCGGAGCCGGCCGAGGAGGTCGAGGAAATCCCCCTGGATACCTCCCAGTCGGAGCGGGTTCTCAGGGTCGGAAAGCAACTCCCCCAGGACCAACGAGACGCCATCCTCCTCGTCCTACGGTCATACGCCGTTGTCTTCGCGTGGGGCCCGGACGATATGCCAGGCATCAGCCGCCAGGTGATCACTCACCGGCTGACCGTCGATCCGGCCTCCGCGCCGGTCAAACAGAAGCGGCGCTACTTGTCCGCCGACAGGCGGGACTTCGTCAGAGGGGAGGTCGCCATGCTCCTCTCAATCAAACACATCAAAGAGGTCAAGTACCCGACATGGTTGGCCAACGTCGTCCTCGCGCAAAAACCGCCGACGTTCAGAATGTGTGTTGACTACACTGACCTGAACAAGGCGTGCCCCATGGACCCGTTCCCTCTCCCCAACATTGATCAGCTGGTGGACGAGACGGCGGGGTGCGAGTTGATGTCGTTCCTCGATGCTTTCAGAGGGTACCACCAAATCTCCATGCATGAAGATGACGCTGAGAAGACGGCATTCATGACCCCAGAGGGAATCTTTTGCTACCTCGTCATGGCCTTCGGACTCAAAAACTCCGGCGCCACCTACACTAGGATGGTGGCCAAGATCTTCAGAGCGGTCCTTGGCCGGACGATGGAGGCGTACGTCGACGACATGATCGTCAAGAGCAGGCAGGCCACCTCCCACGCCGACGACCTCCGGGAAATCTTTGAAATAATGAAGGAGTTCAGGCTCCGCCTCAACCCCAAGAAATGCGCCTTCGGCGTCCAGGGTGGCAAGTTCCTCGGCTACATGGTCAGCCGGAGAGGCATCGAGATAAACCCGGAGAAGACGCAGGCTATCATCAACATGGAGCCGCCCCGCAACGTCAAGGAGG